CACACACACACACACACACACACACACACACACACACACACACACACACACACACAGTCTTTCTACCTCTCTCTCTCTCTCTCATGACACCCCTGATCCACTTGCGGCCGCTTGTGCCCTGTCATACCCCCCCCCCAATGCTGTCATGTCTTCCCTGCCGCTTCAACTCGTCGTCCTCACCAACGCCACCCCTTTTCACGACATCAACCCCCCCCCCTCCAAATCAACGTGCAGGTGCTGGTGTGTCTGCTGCTGTCGTGTCTGTTCTGGCTGTTGCCATGGCAGCCCTCTTCGCCTAAGCTTTGTTGCTGTGGGAACCTCAAGTGCCAGCAACAACACCACCACAACCAAGTACCAGGACCAGCACCCTTCCAAGTTCACTGCTGCGCCTGCGACATGTTCGTTTGTGGACACACCTCCACGTGTCCTCAACTCACTTGTTCGTGCATTGTTCATGCATCACTTCCCACCTCCAAGGTTGCTGCTGCGGTTGTTGCCACCCATCATCCATTGTCTTGCCACGTTCAATGGACCCACTCTCATCCCCCCCTTCTTGATCTTCCTTCTCCATTCTCACTCATGTTCATTCCTGGTGCGGTTGCCCAGAAAACCCTTGTCGCTTCTCGATATTTGTGTGTGTGTGTGTGTGTGTGTGTGTGTGTGTGTGTGTGTGTGTGTGTGTGTGTGTGTGTGTGCCGCTTGCTGGTTTTTGTTTTGTGACGCGGTTGGTGTTGACATCACCTGTTCCTGCATGCAACCGACCTTTACTTGTTTGGTTTCTTGCATTCGCATATTGTGCCTGTTATCAGCGGTGTGTGTACGTTTGTGTTTGGTGAAGAGGCAGAGACATGTTTGCCTGTGGCAGCCGTGGCCGTTGTGGTGTCTTCCCATCAGCCTTGCGTCTCAGCCTCCCTCCCACCTTTCATTAAACATATGCGCGCATGTCAGGTTGCACGGGCGTGCAAGCGCAAAACAAAGCTGCTCGTGTGTTGTGCTGGTGTGTTGTGTGGATGTGATTCGTCCAATACGCATGCTGGTGTGTTGTATGGATGTGATTCGTCCAATACGCAATGTCAACGACGTGCGTGATGCGTGAATGAGATGTTGTTTGGACAACAAGCACCCACCCCTTCATCATCGATACGCTATTGTCACCAGTAGTCTTCTTCACGTCCAATTCTAATGCACGCCCGCGAAAACGAGCTGACAGTCCTTCCGCCAATCTCCACGCTCTCTCACTCGCAAGCACACGTACAGGCCGACTATCGCTCAATCGACGGTTCAAGCACAACGCACAATCCAAGCCACCCACGTACTCGCCACCACACCATAACCACAACCACAAAAGAAAAAAGCCACACACACACACACACTCACACACACATGCATGCATACACGCACACGCACATACACATACATACACACATACAAACATACACACACACACATTCACACATACATACATACACACACTCACTATTCAAACTCCAATCTTCAAGCACTCAAATCTGTGCCAGGGCATGGATGAGGTATTCTGGATCAGCGGCCACGTCATCCGTCGGTGCACGTGTCACGGGCTGACCGCGCGCCATCGAAGCAGACACGTTGTGAAGGCCGCCTCCATCAACACCAGCGCCACCACCATCAACACCGACACCACCACCACCATGGGCGGTTGTGCCCACCTGCAGGAGCTGCGGGGCGTTGCTGCGGAAGTAGGCGAGCACGGCATCGTAGATGAAGCGGTACTGCGACAGCGTCTGCACGCTGCCAGCGCGGAACGTGCGCATGTACAGCACCGTCGCGTACACGTCCACGGCCCCCTGCATCTCAAGCTGCTGCATGCAGTTGTGCAGCGCAACAAACACGCCAGAGCGACCAACGCCCGCGCTGCAGTGCACGACCGCGGGGCCGTGCAGCCCAGCCGTGCGCTGCGTCTCCACAGCGCGTCGCACGTCAAGCACGCACTTGATGATGGCGGCAGCAGACTCTGGGACGTCGTGGTCCGGCCAGCTCGTCACGGCAAAGTGCCGAATCTCACGCGTCTCCCCAGCCTCCGGGTCGCGGACAGAGAATGTGCGCAGCTCGTAGCCGCCGTCGGCGTCCACCTGCCGCTGCACGTGCCGCACCTCAAACCGCCCAGCGTAGATGACGCCATCGCCACCGTGCTCGTTGTCGGTGCCACCCGGGCTGCCGTTGGCAGGCGCGTCTGGCCAGTACTTGTGGCACTTGATCTTGCCCTTCTCCACCTCGCGCGTGACCATCACCACCACACCTGCGCGCTGCTCCCACACCATGCGCCAAAAGTCCGCAATCGTGGCTGGGACGGGCGCCTGCGACACCACAAACGCCGGCGCGCGCTTCATGCTCGGCATGTAGTTGGCGTTGATGTAGTCGGAGCCGAGCTGGCCCGTGGCCTTGAGCAGCACGCGCGTGTCGTCCAGCGGTATCACGTTGCCGTACCTGTTCTTGCGCACGTTGTACGTCTGCGTGCCAACCTCCATGGCAAACGTGTGGTGGGCGCTCTCCTGCTGCAGGCGTTCAAACTCCACGTCCACAGCGCCCTTCTGCCGCATCTCGTGGAAGCGAACCTCCACATCGCGTGCGTCAATGCGCGTACCGCTCGCCTGTGTCCCGCGGAAGCGTACACCAGCCTGCGCCCGCACCCCATCCTGCTCCGCGGCCTCCATCACCTGTTTGCCCGTGACAACGCCGGCGATGCTGTCCGAACGCATGGCGCGTGTCGCCACCTGTATGCCGCCAAGGCCGTTGCCAAGCACACGCGGGGCGCGCAGGCCAAACGACCCGCGGGACGCACGCGCACTGCTGCTGTACTCGTTGGTGGCCGCGTTGTCGCTGCTGTTGCTGCTGCTGCTGCCATATGCATCAGGTTGTTGCTGCTGGGATGCATCCGCCACCATGGCGTCGGTGTTGGTGCTGGTCGTGTTGAGGCCGCCACCGTCATCTCCATCCAGCACCAGCGGCTTGTGGTGCAGCATGCTTGGCTCCTGCCCCTGCTGTGGCCAGGGCGCCATCGTCGTGTTGGAGGCGTTGCCGCCCTGCATGCCCGATGCAGAGGCGTTGTGCCCGTGTGCGCCGGCGAGGAACTGGTCTGCTCGCTCCTTGACGTAGTAGTCCCAGAAGCCGTGGTCCTCGCTCTCGTTCATGGCGCCACCAGCGCTGCCCCCAACCAGCATCACCCTGGACATGCCATTGCCTGGTGCGCCGCTGTGCCCCTGAAAGGTGCTCTCCATCAGCAGACCAGACGGGTGGCCGGCACCGCCACTGTTGTTGCTGCTGCTGTTCAACATCACGCCCTCCTCGCCAACAACCGGCAGTTCAAACAGGTTGCCGTTGTCCACAAACATGCTCGGTGGGCGCTTGCCACCACCTGTGCTGCCGCCATCACCGCCGTTGCCGTACAAGCGCGCCAGGTCGGTCATGCCAGACCGCTGGTTCTGACGCTGCAGCTGCACAACAATCACAATCACCAGCAACACCAGCAGCACGCCGGCGAGCGCAATGCCGGCAATCACGCCAGAGCCAAGCGCGTTTGCACTGCCGCTGGCTGACGTGTTGCCGCCACTGCCGCTGCCCCCGCCGCCGCTGTTCACGTCGTCCTCGTTCACCGCCAGTGTTGTGGACACGGTGTTGGACCGTTCCTGTGTCGGCGTGCCGTCGCTCAGCGTGGTGACGGCCTCGACAACAAACGTGTACTCCTCATTGGCCGGCAGCACGGATCCGTCGTCCGGTGCAAGAACCCACGTGCGCGTGGTGATGCCCTGTGGCACCTGCACGGCGCCCGCAATGCCGCACGCGCACGTGGCCGGGGCGATGCTTGCGTCGCAGTAGCACGCGCGGTAGCCGACCAGCGCACCGTTGGGCTGGCGCGGCGCCTGCCACGACACGTTGTACAGGCCGTCGTTCTGCCGCACCAGCGCCACGCCCGTCGGCGCAAACTGCGTGGTGCGCAGCGGGTAGAAGGCAGACGTGCCAACCTTGGCGTCGCTGCTGTCATATGCCCGCAGCTGGAACTCGTATGTCGTGTCTGGCAGCAGGCCGTCCAGTGTGTATGTGCTCACGCCAGCGGAGTAGCCTGCGTCGCCCTTGCCAAACACGCGGCACATGCACGCTGTTGCCGATGACGATGCCGTAGCCACGACCACCTCCTGGTCGTTACACAGCGCAGGCTCGCAGTTGAAGTTGCGTCGCGTCCACACCTCGTACCGCAGCCTGGCATCAAAACCAAACAAGAAGAAACCGACGAGGGATGGGTTGGTCAGTCAGGTGGTGTGGCATACTTGGTTGGTTGGTTGGTTGGCGGTGGTGGTGGTGGTTATGGTGGTGACACAGGTGTGTCAGTCCAACAGCGAGAGCAACGCGTGCATTACGTAGATGTTTGTGTAGCTTGTGTGTGTTGGTGTTGTGAGTGCGTTGTATTCGGTGTACGCATGTGTGTGTATTGTGTACTGTACCTGTTGCTGGCGCTGCGGCCGAGGTTGCGGCAATAGTCGGCATCTGCAGTGGTCACGCAAGAGATCAACGCGCAGTGTCAAGACAGCATATTTCTCCAGCAAGCATGTCAAACATCGACACAAATACGCACAACCAAACGCACGCACGTCTACACTTGTGCAAGGGTTCCTGCGATCGTGAAGCTCTGACGAACCCCATCACACACCGACACACACACACACACACATACACACACACAGACCCATCACACACACTCACACACACGCCCACACGCCCACACACACACACGCACACACATACCCATCACACCCACCCATCACACACCTGGGTAGTCGAGGCAGGGGTCTGGAACGGCCATGTTGAAGACAACGGCCGAGGCATCGGCGGGCGTGGTCTGGTCCAGGAACGGAAGCACATGCACGTTCACCTGGGTTGTCACCACGTCGCTGGCAGCTGCGCGCGGGTTGCTTGCGCTCACCGTCACGGTGTAGGTGCTGGTGCTAGTGGCGTCATACTGAAGGTCCTCGGCAATCACAATCGCCTCCCGGCCCTGCGCCACAATGCCCACGGAACCGCTGTCCAGTGTAAGCTTCACATTCCCACTCGTCGTCGTCGTCGTCGTCGTCGTCGTTGTAACCGCATCATCATCACCACCATCCCCCGCATCACCACCACCTGTCAGTAGCGTTGTCTGCAGCGAAATGGAAATGTCCGAGTTGAGCAGCGTGCCGTCGGCGTCTGTGACCGCGACACCAAAGAGCCCGGCGCCCGTCACGGGAATGGCCTCCGACACCTCCAGCGTGGCGCGCGCCTGCACGGCGGACACAACGGGCGCGTTGTCGTTTACATCCACAATGCTGACGGCGATGCTTGCGGTGGCTGACCGCGACGGCTGGCCCTTGTCTGTCACATACACGCGCAGCTGCATCGCGCTCATCTGCTCGTAGTCGAGTGCACTCACATACACGTCGCCCGTCGACGCGTCAATGCTGAATGGGCCGCTCACAGCGGACAGCGTGTCCACGCCCGTGATGAGCGCAAACACAAGGTCGCCGTTGTTGCCCTCGTCATTGTCCACAGCAGCAAGCGTGCGTACGACCATGCCCGGCGCCTGGTCCTCGGACAGCACGAGGTCGGCAATGCTTGCAGGCACAAACGCGGGCGTCACATCATTCACGTCCAGAACAGTCAGCTGCACGGTTGCGCGCGCGCCCAGCGGCTGGCTGCCGCCGTCAAGCACCTCCACGACCAGCTCGTATTGAGCCGTTGTCTCGCGGTCCAGCGGGGACGTGAGTGTGATGGCGCCGCTGCTGGAGACACTAACACCGGCACCGCCACTGCTCACCAGAGCAAACGTCAGCGCGGCGTTGGCGCCCTCGTCTGCGTCTGTCGCCGCCAGCAGCAGCACCTCGCTTCCCACCGACACGTCCTCCTGCACAGACACCTGGTAGGTGGCCCTTGTGGCGTCAAAGCTTGCGCCGGCGGTGGTGCTGGCCGCAAACATGGGGGCGTTGTCGTTCTCGTCACCAACAGCCACGCGCACGACCAAGTCCTGGCTGCGTGCTTGGTCGGTTCCCGTCGCGCCGTCCACAGCAAACACCACAAGCGTGTACGCGGTGACCGCCTCGCGATCCACATTGCCAGACACCGCCAGCCGCCCGCTGGTCTCGCCAATGGTAAACGGAATCGTGGCTTCAGAGCCAGCCTGCGTTGCGCCCGTGCCAGCCCGGGTCAGCGTGCTGCGCGCGTAGTCGAGGAAGTACGACACCTGGCCGTTGGCGCCGGCGTCGCTGTCCGTCGCAACAATGGTGGTCACCAGCGTGCCGGCATCCGCGTTCTCCCGGACGGAAACATCCAGCGGCGACGGCGGCAGCAGCGGCGCGTTGTCATTCACATCGGCAATGGTGATGACAACAGACGCAAACCCCGTGCGATCGCCGTCATCCCGTGCAGAGACGGTCACCTGGTACGACCCGGCAGACTCGCGATCCAGGCTGCCCGCAACGACAACCAGGCCCGACGCCTCGTCAATGTCAAAGGGGCTCAGCCCGCCGTCGTCCAGCGCATAGCGGATGGCCACGTTGGAGGCATCTGCATCGCTCGCGCTCACACGCACCACGGGCGTGCCCACGCTTGCCGCCTCGCTCACCGTCGCCACGTATGTGTCCGCGAGGAACACGGGGTCCCTGTCGTTGATGTCCTGAATGTCCACGACAACAACAGCGGTGGTGGTCATGGGTGCTCCCGCACCGCTGCCGGCACCGCCCGCGACCACATCAGTCACCTCCACAGTCACGTTGAACTGTGTCAGCTGCTCGTGGTCAAACGAAGGCGTCACAAACACGTCGCCGTTGGTAAACACCTGCACATACTGCGCAAACGGCGTTGGGGCGAGCGAGAACACCATGGCGTCGCCATCACCGTCCGTGGCGGTGAGCCTGACTGCACGCAGCGGCACCACCGCCCCCGTTGTGCCGCGTCGCTCATCAACCTCAACGCGGTACACGGCCTGGTCAAACTGCGGCGCGTTGTCGTTAACGTTGCCAACGGTCACGGTCACCGTTGCATTGGTGGACAGCTGTGGGGAGCCCTGATCCAAGGCCAGCACCGTCAGCGCGTACTCTGCTTGCACCTCGCGATCCAGCGGCTGCAGCGTCGTGACGACGCCCGACACCGGGTTGACGCTGAACAGATCAGCGCGCCCGCCCACGAGCATAAATGATACGAGCTCGTTCACGCCAGAGTCGGCATCGGTCACCTGCACGCGCCCGACGACGGCACCAACACCCTCGTTCTCCGCCACGCTCATGGCGTAGCTGCCGCCCTCCGTGAACACGGGCGCGTTGTCGTTGGTGTCCAGCACGGTAATGGTGACCGTGGTCGCGTCCATCTGTGTTGGATCGTCGTACGTGTTTGTGTTGTCCACCTCCACTGTCAGCTGGTACAGCGTCGTTGTCTCAAAGTCGAGTGGAGCCGCGAGCGTGATCGCGCCCGTGCTCGGCTCAATCGCAAACACGCTCTGCGCAGCCGTGAAGCGGAAGAACAGCTCGGCGTTGGCGCCATCATCCTCGTCAACGGCCACCACGTGTGTGATGTTGCTGCCAACTGCCACATCCTCCCGCACCTCAAGCAGCACGTCGCGTGTCACAATGACGGGCGCGTTGTCGTTGATGTCCTCCACCGTGATGGTCAGGGTCACTGTCGTGCACAGGCCGGCGCACGCCACACCGGCATCAGACGCCGTTGTTGTGGCTGCTGTTGTTGTCTGCACAGGTGTTGTGACGCCAGTGGTGCTTGGCGTGGCCACGGTGCTTGCGGTTGTTGCCGTGGTCGCAACTACGGGTGTCGTGGTTGGTGTTGTGGAAGATGCAGCTGTTCCATTCACCATCATGCGCGTTGAGCTGTCCGCGGTGGAGATGTTATTGTTGCTTGTCGTCGTGGCGGTAGCAATAGCAGTAGCTGTGGTGGTGGTGGTGGTGGTGCCGACGACAGGGGTGCTGCCTGGGGCAATGGTGGTCGTTGCTGTTGTGTCCGCCTTGACGGCGCAGGCTCCACCTTGCAGAGCGCAGCGGTCAGATGGACACGTGTTCACGTCAAACGCAAAGCAAGGCACCGGCTCGCCCTGCTCCAGACACAGCCCGCCCGCAAGCGGCGTTGCCATGAACACGCAATCATCGGGGCACGTATCGTTTGTCGGGTACTCCCTGCAGGGCAGCCGCTGGCCAATGTGGCGGCATCGATTGCTGAGGGCAGGGTCTGTCTCACATCCATATGCGGTGCAGTTGCTCTCAAACAGCAGCTCACACGGGGCGGGCTCGCTGGCGTTGAAGCACACAGACGACGCACCAGCAAACACGCACGCAGCCACGGCCTCACATTCGCTGGCCGTGACAAACCTGGAGCACACGTCATTGGCGACAGGGGTTGTTGTTGTTGTTGTTGTTGTTGTTGTTGTTGTTGTTGTTGTTGCTGCTGTGGCTGTGGCTGTTGTTGCTGTTGCGGAAGCAGTTGTTGCTGCTGTGGTTGTGGCTGTTGTTGTTGGTTGCTGAACGGTGTCATTGCCTGCAACGATGGTGGTTGCAGTCGCAGTCGCAGTCGTGGTGGAAGTGGAATTGAGGACATCACGACGGCGTCGGTTGCCACCATCACTTCCGCCATCATCGGCGGTGACGCGAACAACAATCTCACCCGTCTCCTCCCTGTCAATGGTCTGCGTCGCAATGACCACGCCTGTTGTGGCGTTGACGGCAACCAGGCCAGGGTGCGAGGAGTAGCTGATAAAGTACCGCAGGGCACCCAAGTCAGCGCCGTCAGGATCCGACGCAGCAAGGCGTGCAATGACAGCACCAGGCGCGTTGTTCTCGGGGAGCGATGCCTGCACGCTCGGCTGCGCAAACACAGGCGGGCTGTCGTTGATGTTCTCCACCTCAATGCGGATCACATATGTCCCCGACGTGAACGCGCCGTCCGTGGCCACCGCCTGCACGACAACGGCGGATGCTTCCTCGTAGTCCAGGTCGCGTGCCAGCGCCACCATCCCGCTCATCGCGTCCATGGTCACAAACGTCGGCTCCTCAGCATTGGCTGCGGCCGCCGTGTTCTCGTTGCCCGCGTGTTCCGTCTGCACGTTGAGAATGGCAAAGGCGAGCGTGCTTGTTTCGTCGGCGTCTGTGGCAGCAATGCGGCCCACAACCGTGCCGTTGGCTGCACCTTCCCGCAGCTGCACAACAGTTGGGTTGGAGGCCACATCCAGTACGGGCGCGTTGTCGTTCTCGTCCGTCACCGTGACCACCACAGCGACAGTGGACGTCCGTGCACTCGGCAGCCCGCCGTCCGAGACAACCGCCTGCAGATACACCACGGCCACCGCTTCGCGGTCGAGTGCCTGCACCAGCTGGACAACGCCACTCACGGGGTCCACAACAAAGTGCTGGCTCCACTCTCCTTGTGCAAGGCTGAACGTGAGCTGCGTTGGAGTTGCGGGCCTGTCCGCATCGGTCGCCGCCAGCGTGATGAGATCAACGCCTGCCGTGTTCTCGGCAACGGTTGCGCTGTAGCCGCCCTGCACAAACGCGGGCGCGTTGTCGTTCACGTCGTCAACAATGACATGCACGCTGGCTGTGGAGTTGAGCCCGTCCTCATCCGTCGCCACAACAACAAACCGGTACGCCTGCACCGTCTCGCGATCCAGCGCAATGCTAACCTTGATCTCGCCAGTAACAGCGTCAATCTCAAACGGCAACACAGTCGGCACCATCGTTGTGCTGGTAGTGCTCGTCGTGGCGGTGGTTGTGGTTATGGTTGTGGTTGTTGTTTTGGTGGTGGCTGACGAGGTGGTCGTGGAGGCTGGTTGAGTTGTGCTCGCTGTTGTGAAGGTCACAACATCTGTAATCGTCGCGTTTGCGTGCATTGTTGTCGCGTTGCTGGATGCAGTCGTGGCACTTGTTGAGCTGATTGTCATGTTGCCATTGTCAGTCGCATCCACCGTGCTTGTCGTTGTGGTTGTGGTGGTTGTGGTTGTGGTGGTTGTTGTTGTTGTTGTTGTTGTTGTTGTTGTTGTTGTTGTTGTTGTTGTTGTTGTTGTTGTCGTGGTTGTGGCCGCGACGCTGGCGGCAGTGGACGAGCTCGTTGGCACACCAGCACTTGCGGTCGTGGACAAATTGTCACCATTGCCGTTGTCGTTGCTTGCGAGCACAGCGACAATGGAGTAGGTGACGGTGGCGCCGATGTCACGCTCGCGTGCTACCACCTGCAAGACAACCGTGCCAGTAGACGCATCCTCGCTTACGTGGCCCTCATACAGCACCTGATCAAACTGTGGCGCGTTGTCGTTGACGTCCTGTACACGCACCAGCATGTCAAACGTTGTCTGCAGCTGCTGCTCCACACCACGGTCCGTCGCCACAATCGTCAGCGCATACCTGTCGCGCGTCTCGCGGTCAAGCGGTTTCAGCACACGCAGGCGCCCGCTCAGCGCATCCAGTGCAAACGTATCGTTGTGGGTGGAGCGCAGGGCATACGTCACGTCGCTGTTTCTGCCCTCGTCCGCGTCTGTGGCCGTGACCACAATCAGCGTGCTGCCTGCAAGCACGTTCTCCGGTACGTCCAGCTCGCTGGGCAGCTCCGCAGCAAACTCGGGGGCGTTGTCGTTGCTGTCCTGCACATTGACGGTGAAGGATGCTTCCGTGAACTGGTCGAGCGAGGTTGTTGCCGCGTTGGCGACGCGGACCACAAACGTATGGCTGCGTGCCGACTCGTAGTCCAGCGCTCCCTGCAGCGTCACGCGTCCGCTGTCCCTGTCGATGGCAAACAGGTCATCGCTGCTGTCTTGCAGCCAGAATACAACGTCGGTGTCGACAATGTCCACGTCGTCGGCCGTGACGGTGAGGATGAGCGACTCAGGGGCGAGCGCCTCGCTCACGGAGGCGGTGCGCACGGCGTTGGTCACATAGGGCGGGTTGTCGTTGACGTCACCAATGGTGATGGTGACACCAACGAGGCGTGTGAGCTCCTCCACACCACCGTCCACCGCCACCACCGTCAGCTCGTATGCGGCCTGCGTCTCGCGATCCAGCGGTCGCGCAACAGAGATCACCCCGCTGCTCGCGTCAATCTCAAACGCGCCCACCACCGCACTGCCGGTGCTGTTGGTGGTGCCGGCACCAAGCAGCGTGTACGTGATGCGGGCGTTGTCCGCCAGGTCAGCGTCTGTCGCACGCACGCGCACCACCTGTGCGCCGAGCGCAGCGCTTTCCAGCACGCTGGCCGTGTACGCTTCCTCGTCAAACACAGGTGCGTTGTCGTTCTCGTCCGTCACCGTCACAGTGATGGTGACGTCTGTGAAGAGCTGCTGCTCTGTGCCAAGATCGCGTGCGCGAACAACAAGCGCATATGTGTCCACGACCTCCCGGTCAAGCCGGCCCGCGGTGAAGAGGGTGCCGCCCTCGAGTTTGAATTTCCCGGCAGCATTACCGCCAACCAAGAGGTACTCCACTTGGCCGCCGGCGCCCGTGTCTGGGTCCTGTGCGAGCACGCTGCCAATGCGCGTGTCCACTTCTGCGCCCTCACTCACCTCAAACGCGTACGGTGCGCCCACAAACGCCGGATGCTCGTCGTTGTCGTCTGTGAGCGTTATCAGAACCGTGGCCACGGCACTTGGCTGAGCGCCGAGCGCGCCAGCCGGGTTGCTTGCAAGCACGATGATGTTGAGAATGGGTGCCGTTTCAAAGTCGAGGTTGTTCGGGTACAGCGTGCCGGAGGCGTCGATGCGAACGGCGCTGTTCATGTTACCACCGGCAATCTCAAACTCAACCTGTGCGTTGACACCCTGATCGGCGTCCTCCACCACGAGCGCAACAATGGGCTCAGTCGTGCTCTGCGTCTCCACAACCGTCACCACGTACTCGCGTGGCGTGAACTGAGGCACGTTGTCGTTGACATCTGTGATGGCCACCACCAGCTGAGCCGTCGTGGTGAGTCGGTCGGCAACGTCGGCTGCCATGTCATACACAAGCACGGTGACGGCGACCTCTGCTGCGGTTTCGTGATCAAACCACTGCACGTCGCCGCCAGCATCTCCAGTCGCCACGCGGACAGCGCCCGTCACAGCATCCACCTCAAATGCGTGCGACCACGTCTCGTTGGCAGCCAGCCCAAACCGCACGTCGTTGTTGGGTGCGGTGGCGTCGCCGTCCGTGGCCGTCAGCGTCACCACGTGCACGCCACTGACGGCATCCTCCGGCAGGGTTGCGCGAATGGGGCCTTGCTGCTGCGACGGCGTGTTGGTGAAGATGGGGGCGTGATCGTTCACGTCAAGCAGCGTGAGCTCAACACGGGCGGTGGCGCTCAGCCGCTGCTCACTGCCGTTGTCCGTTGCGCGCACCACAAGCACGTACGACTCACGGGTCTCACGGTCCAGCGGCCGCGATGCAAACACCTCGCCGCTGCTGCCGTCAATCACAAACAGGCCGCCCTCGTCCTCGTCCAGCGTGTACGTCAGCTGCGCGTTGAGGCCGGCGTCGTCGTCGCTCGCAGCCACTACAACCACGGGCGTGTCGGCAGCAATGTCTTCGCGCACGTCTTGCGTGTACACGCTCTTCTCAAACACGGGGGCGTGGTCATTGACATCGGTCACATGCACGACAAGGGTGGCGGTTGTGGCCTGGCGCGCGTCGGGATCGGCGGCCCGGTCCTCCGCCACCACCGTCACCTCGTAGGTGTCCGTTGTTTCCCGATCAAGGTCAGACACCAGCAGGCGCACCTCGCCCGTGAACGTGTTCACAAAAAAGACGGACGTGGCCGTGGTCTGGAACAGGCGCACAACACCGTTGAGCCCTTCGTCGGGGTCGTGGGTGACAATCGTCGTCACCAGCGCCCCAGCCTGCGCATCCTCGCGCACGTGCGCAACAAACGGCTCTGGGGCCGTGAACGAGGGTGCATTGTCGTTGATGTCTGCAAGCATCACGTGCAGGCGGGCTGTGCCGCGTAGTGCAGGGAATGAGGGCGTGGATGGCAACGTCACATCATTGCTACCACCACTTCCACCATCACTACTGCTGTCTGTCGCCACCAGCGTCAGTGTAAAGTTGGAGCCGAGGGTCTCGCGATCAAGCGCCGTGCTGATGCTCAGCCGCGCCGTGGTCGTTGTGCTGTCACTCCTGTCGGGGCTCACGTCCACCACCTCAAAGGTGAAGTGCTCTGCCCCCACGCCTTCAACGCTGAACGTCACCGCCGCGTTGGTGCCAAGGTCCGCGTCGTTCACAGTGACCTGCAGCAGCACCACCTCGCCCCCGGCGGACGTGGCGGCATACTCCTCCTCCTCCGTCACAGCAATGCTGTACGCTGGTGCGTCAAACGTGGGGGCGTTGTCGTTGACATCCGTCACCAGCAGCACGACGGCCTGCGTGTCGTTGAGACCGCCGATATCGCTTGCGGCCACCAGTAGGACATACTCGTTCTGCTCTTCGCGGTCCAGCGTCGCACCGGCGGCCAGTCGAATCACACCGTCGCTCCCGCACGCGAACAGGTCGAGTGAGTTGCCGTCACCAGCGACAGCAGCGTAGGTGACGACGCTGTTCTCTTCAGCATCTGCGTCTGTGGCAATCACGCGGCCCACGACGTCGCCACCAGCGGCGGCCTCGGACACGTTGAACACAACAAACTCGCCATGCGAAAACACGGGCGCGTTGTCGTTGACATCCAGCAAGGCAATGCTGATGGTGGTGCGGGCTGAGCGCCGCTGGTCGACACTGGCGGCGTTGTCTGTGGCCACTACATCAAACACGTACAGCTCCTGCTGTTCGCGATCAAGTGCACCAGCGACCGTCACCTCGCCGCTCACCGCATCCACAGCAAACGGTACCTGCAGACTGCCACTGGCTGTGGCGATGGTGTAGGTGATGCGGGCGTTGTCATCGATGTCGCCGTCTGTTGCCGCAACCGTCACCAGGAGCGTGCCCAGCGCAGCGTCCTCACGCACATCCGCACTGTACTCCGCCTGCACCTGCGGCGTGTTGTCGTTGACGTCATCAATCAAGACAGTCACGGACGCAGAGTCTGTAAACAGGAAGCGCGTTGCGTCAGGGTCGCGCGCGGTGATGGTGAACGTGTACGCGTCCTTTGTCTCCCTGTCAAACTCGGCGGTGGCGAAGATCTCACCGGTGCTCCCGTTGACCCAGAACAGCGCCTCGTCGCCACTGCCAGACAGGCTGTATGCGATGATGGCGTTGGCGTCGCTGTCTCGGTCCTGTGCCACAACAGCGCCGACGCGCGTCCACGCAGGCATGCCCTCTGCCACAGTCAGCGTGTAGGTGGCGTTGGCAAACTCGGGCTGGTTGTCGTTCTGGTCAAACAACGTAATCACGGCGGTGGTGGTCCCCTGCAGGCCGCCACCGTCCTCCGCCACAATCGTCAGCGTGATGACGGGCAGCACCTCGCGGTCCAATGCCGTCGTTGGCCGCACGTCACCCGTGGCGCTGTCAATGGCAAAGTTGCTACTGCCGGCGCCGTCGCGAATGCTGTACACAATGCCGGCGGTGCCGTTGGCGCCGAGGTCACGGTCGCTCGCACGCGCCGTCAGCACCGTCGAGCCAAAGTTGAAGTTCTCGATGATGGTTGCTTCGTACCTCTCGCGCTCAAAGACGGGCGCGTTGTCGTTCACGTCCACCACGCGCACCAGCACCGTGGCCACAGCACGCCGCCCACCAGGGTCCGATGCAGACACCGTGAGCGCATACGCGTCCTCCTCCTCCCTGTCCAGCACGGCGTTGGTGCTCAGCCAGCCGGTTGTTGGGTCGATGGTGAAGGTGGTGCCGGAGGTGAGGATCCGGTACGCAACCGTGTCGCCATCCGCGTCGCGCGCAACAATACGATGCACGCGCGTGCCAATGGGCTCACCCTCCCGCACACTCACCTCAATCGTGTCTGCGTCAAAGACGGGGTCGTTGTCGTTGGTGTTCTGCACCGTGACCACCACCACGAGCTGGGCCGCGAGCGTGGCCGGGCTGCCGCCATCGCGCGCCTCAACCGTCACGTTGATCTGCGTCGTCTCCTCAAAGTTGAGCGCCTGCGTCAGCTGCACCACACCCGTGTCTGCGTCCACGCGCACCGCGCTGTTGCCGCCGGGGTGCGTGGTGCTCACCAGCGAATACGTGACTGCGGCGTTGCTGCCCTCGTCCGCGTCCGTTGCCGTGAACACGCCGACCGTCGTGACACCGGCCACGTTCTCCGCAACCATGCGGCGCTCAACGCCGCTGGCAAAGCGGGGCGCGTTGTCGTTCACGTCCGATACCGTCACCACGGCCGTGGCGGTGGCCACGTTGCCACCAGCATCCACAGCCCGCACTGTGAGGCGGTGCACGGCGTGCTGCTCGCGGTCCAGCCAACGCGCCAGGCCCAGAACACCAGTGGTGGCGTTCAGCACAAACGCTTCCGCCGTACCAGTGCTGCTGCCCGTGATGCTGAATGTGGCCGAGTCGTTCTCGTCCGCGTCTGTCACGCGCAGCTGCAAGACGACCACGTCACCGGACATTGCGCCTCCATCACCACCTGCAGCTGCTGCTGCAGCGGCGCTCGTCTCAGGGACGGTGGCTGTGAGGGAGGATGGCACAAACGACGGACTGCTGTCGTTCTCATCTGTGACCGCGACCGTGACCGTGGCGTCAGTGAACAGCGCAGGGCTGCCACCATCGGTTGCACGGACGACGAGTGTGAACAATGCCTGCGCCTCGCGGTCAACCGCGCCCCGCACGCGCACCTCACCGCTCGCGCTGTCGATTGCAAACACGCCGCTCGTGTCGGCCGTGCTGTCAGCACCACTGACCGCCACCAGCGCGTACGTCACATCGGCGTTGGTGCCCTCGTCAGCGTCCGTCACTTGCGCCGTGAACACGAGCGTGCCGACGGCGCTGTTCTCCACGACAGCGTAGGCGGAGTCCAGACCCACAAACACGGGCGCGTTGTCGTTCTCATCCTCCACCACGATCACAATGTCCAGGGTGGACGAGGGGACAGCACCGCTGGGGGCCGGCGCACTTGCGGGGTTGCTTGCCTCAATGGTCAGCGTGACGCTGCGGTCTGCACTGGGCCGCCCCGTAAACGCTCCAGCCGGCAGCACGCCGCCAATCGTCACTTCCCCGCTCTCGGTGTCAATGGCAAAGAAGCCAGCATCGTTGCCTGCGACGATGCTGTAGGCGATGGCGGCGTTTTCGCCAGCGTCCGCGTCCGTGGCTGTCACGCCACCAACGCGCGTGCCCGTGCCTGCAAGCTCGCTCACCGTGAAGCGCGCACCGTCCTGCGTCACAAAGGCGGGCGAGTTGTCGTTGACATCGCCCACGGTGACCGTAAACGTGGCCACGTCGGAGCGTGGTGGCTGGCCCGCGTCCTGTGCACGCACCGTGAACGTGTGCTCAGCCTGCGTCTCCCTGTCAAATGCCGTCGCAAGCGTGATCACGCCCGTGTGCGCATCAACAGCGAGAAACCGCTGGGCACCCACAAAGGCAAACGTCACGTCACCGTTTGGCCCAACGTCGGCGTCCGTGGCGTTGAGAACGGCAATGCGCGCGCCCACCAGCGTGTCCTCGGAGATGGTGAGTGCGCTTGGTGCGCCGATGAGAAGCGGGTTGTTGTCGTTCTTATCATCCACGGCCACTGTCACCGTCACGTTGGTGGACAGCGGGTTGCGCACAGCGCTGTCTGTCGCGGTGACCACAACGCTGTACACGGGCACCGCCTCCCTGTCCAGCACCACACGCGTGGTGATCTGGCCCGTCTCAGCGTCAATCGCAAACTCGCTTGCGTGTGTGGCCAGCGAGAAGCGCACAGCCTGCGTGCCATCCTCGTCTGCGTCCTGTGCCGCCACGCGCACAACGGCCGTGTCGACGGCCGCATTTTCCAGAACAGAGGCAGCGTATGCCGTCTGCGAGAACGCGGGCGCGTTGTCGTTCACATCATCAACGGTGATGCGCACAGTGAGTGCCACGCGGTTTGTGGGCTGTGGTGGCGGGAATGACGGTGACGCGGGCGTACCCTCTGCCAGGGCGAGCGTCGTTGCATCCGCCACCTCCAGGGTCAGCGTGTATGTGACAAACGTCTCGTAGTCCAGTGGCTTTGCCACAGACAGCCTACCAGACGTGGCGTTGATGGCAAACGCACCGTCCAAGTTGCCGCCCACAATCGCGTAGCGTACAGCGCCGTTGGTGTTGGTGTTGGTGTTGGTGTTGGTGCTGGTGCTGGTGGTGCTGTCGCTGGCGTGGTACTCGTCTGCGTCTGTCGCCACATATGTAAACACCTCGCTGCCCACCGCTGCGCTCTCCGCAATGCGGAAGCTGGTGGCCGCCTGTGACGCCGCTGTGAGCATGGGCGCGTTGTCGTTGACGTCCAGTACCGTCACCAGCACCGTCGCGGTGACCGTGTTCTGCATGGCACCGTCGACGTTGTCTGTGGCGACAACCTCAAAGCTGTACGCTGCCTTGGACTCGCGATCAAGCGGCGCAGTTGTGGTGATGACGCCAGCTGGCGAAACGGCAAAGACAGAAGCATCCGTGCCAGCAAGCGCCAGAGCAACCCGCGCGTTGTTGCCGCTGTCTGCATCGCTCACCTCAACGCTCAGCACGCTCGTTGCTGTGGTGGCCGCCTCGCTCACCGCAGCGGTGAACGTGCCAGAGATAGGCAGGTTGTCAAACACGGGAGCGTTGTCGTTGGCGTCGGTCAGGGTCACTGTGACACGTGCGGGCAGCAGCGTCATGCGGGGTGCAGGCATGTGCCCGTCGCTTGCCGTCACCTCAAGCACGTACGTGCGCACGTCCTGCTCGTAGTCCAGAGCTGTCAGCGTCGTGATGACGCCCGTGCTGGCGTTGATGGCAAACACGGAGCTCACACTCACGCCGTTCACTTCCGAGTCTGCGAGCACGTACGACACGTGCGTGTTGGCTGCGCTGTCTGCATCTGTGGCCATCACACTGGCAACAGCGGTGCCGACATCAGCGTTCTCAACAAGCGTTGCCTGCACATCCGTGTCCACAAACACGGGGTTGTTGTCGTTGATGTCAACCACATTCACCGTCACCACTGCCGTCGTCTCGCGGCCATCTGGGTTGCTGGCAACAACAACAAGTGTGTGTGTCTGGTGCATCTCAAAGTCCAGCGCGCCCACGGGCGTCACCTCGCCAGTGAATCGGCCAATCGTAAAGGCGAGTGGCTCTGGCGCGGAGACCTCATTGGCAGCTCGCAGCGTGTACTCCACCTGTGCGTTTGTGCCCACGTCTTCGTCCGTGCTGGAGACACGCAACACAACGTCGGCTGTGGTGGCGTTCTCAAACACCGACACTTGCATGGGCAGGTCAACAAACACGGGGGCGTTGTCGTTGACATCAAGCACCGTGAGCACAATGGTTGCGTCCGTGGACAGCTGCACGGGTGCGCCGCTGTCACGCGCGCGCACCACGAGCGTGTGTGTCTCCGCGGTCTCGCGATCAAGCTGTCCGCCCGTCAGCCGCACTTCGCCCGTGGTCGCATCCACGGAAAACAGGGGCGCGGTGGCATTGATGAGCGAGTACGTGACGCGGGCGTTTGCGCCGGCGTCGGCATCACTCGCAGCAACCGTGCCCAGCAGCGTGTTGGGTGCCGCATCCTCGGATACAGACCACGCGTAGTAGGCGTTGCTGGTGAACACGGGCGCGTTGTCGTTGACATCGCCCACCACCACGGGCACAGCCACCGTGGCCGTGAGGGGCGGCTCGCCGTTGTCTGCCGCCTGCACCGTCAGGTTGTATGCAGCATCGGTTTCACGATCCAGAGGGCCCGTGGTCCGCACGACACCAGTTGCCGCGTCAATTGCAAACAGGCCCGCGGCGTTTCCGCCCACAATAGAGTACGACACGCGGTTGAACCCGGCCGTGATGTCCGCATCGGTGGCAAACGGCGCGGCCGCAACCTTGCCTGCAGGCAAATTCTCCGCGACCACCTGCGCGCCGACATCGGCGTTGAAGACGGGCGCCTCGTCGTTGGCGTCCACCAGCGATACGACCACCAGCACGTCCGCAGTCTTGGGCTGCGGTGTGCCTTGGTCCGACGCGCGCATCGTAAGCGTGTAGGAAACAACGCTCTCAAAGTCCAGGCGCCGCGCAACAGACACGACACCCGTGGTAGGGTCCACGGCAAAGTCGCTGTTGGTGTTGCCGGCCACAATAGCATACGCCACGGTGCCGTTGCCGCCCAGGTCAGCGTCACGGGCTGCCACCTGCACGCCAATGGGCGTGCCTGGCGCCGCGTCCTCCAGCACTATAACAGATGTAAAGTCGCCATGCGCATACACGGGGGCGTTGTCGTTGATGTCCAGGACATGCAGCGTCACGGTGACGCTGGTCACCAGCGGCGTGGCGCTCACGTCTGCTGCCGTCACCTGCACCTGGTACGTGTCCTGTGTCTCGCGGTCAAGTGCACGGCGCGTGTACATGGCACCCGTGGTCGCGTTGATGCGCAGGACATCCGTGTCGCCGCCTGCAAGCGCATACACAATGCGGGCGTTGTCGCCAATATCCGCGCTGGTGGCACGCACCGTGCCCACAAACTGCACGGCGTTGTCGTTGTTGTTCGCTGCACCGGTCACGCCAGCGGTGCTACCGTCCGCCTCCGCCACGGTGAAAGCGTAGCTCTGCTGCTCAAACACGGGCGGGTTGTCGTTGATGTCCGTGATGTGCACAGTGACGTTGACAGCGGAGGACGGGCCAGTCGCGTCGTTCAGGTTGGCAGCCACCACCGCCAGCACATACCCGTTTGGTGCCGCCTCGCGATCAAGGCTGGCGGTCGTGGTGATGGCCCCACTAGTGCCGTTGATGGCAAACCGGCCATCAAATGTGTCTGCAAGCGTATACACCACCACTGCGTTGTCGCCCGCGTCGATATCGGTCGCCTGCACCGTCACCACGTGCTCGCCAGCAGGGCGGTTCTCAACCAGGTTGATGGGGCCGTACGCCGGCTGTGCAAAGCGCGGGGCGTTGTCGTTGATGTCCGTGCTCACCACGCGAACGGTGAAGGACGTGGACAGCTGCTGCGGTGTGGTGCCGACGTCGCTCGCCACCACACGTGCCGCGTACACCTCCCGCTGTTCCCTGTCCGTGCTGGCAATGTACAGCACGCCGTCGACAATCGAGAACATGCTTGCCTGTGCATACGCTGTGTCGATCCTCAGCGTCGGCTGTGCGTTGGGCGCGCTGTCTGCGTCTGTCACGTTCACGGCAGTCAAAGCAGTGCGCACGCCTGCTTCCTCCTGCACGGTAAACGACAGCTCCGTGCCGTCCGCAACGGCATTGCCACCGTCCACCGTCACGACAGGTGCGTTGTCGTTTTCGTCGACAACGTCCAGCACCAGCCTGCGCTGCGCCATGCGTGCTGCAGCTGCGTCCACGCCAGTCCCGCTCGCGCCGCCATCGCTGACAGACACGACAACGGTGACCTCCGTGTGGGTCTCGTAGTCCAGGGGCGCAAGCAGGGTCAGCTCGCCCGTGGCCGCGTTGAGCGACAGCGACGACGCAAGCTCAGCCGGCTGCACGGAAACAATGGCAAAGGCGAGGGTGGTCGCCTCGTCAGCGTCTCGCGCAATGAACGCTGTCACGGTGCGGGGCGTGTTGCCGTTCTCGTTCACAGACACGCGCGCCGGCGGTGCGGCAGTGTCAAACACGGGGTCATTGTCGTTGACATCCAGCACGTTCACCACCACGGTTGTGGTCGCCACCTGCCTGTCATCTGCGTTGCTAGCTTGGTCCGTGGCCACGACAACAAACGTGTATGCGCCCACATCCTCGCGGTCCAGGGCGCTGCTGACGGAAATCACGCCCGTCTGCGCATCAATGACAAACGGCAGCAAGGCGGCTGTGTTGTCGATGGCAAAGGCAACGGCGCCGTTGTCGCCAGCATCGGCGTCAGGTGCATACACGCGACCAGCGGCGGCTGGTGCCGACGTATTCTCAGACACGTTGAATACGTAGCCAACAGCACCATCAGTGGCACTGCCATCGGCGTCAACAAACACGGGCGCGTTGTCGTTCTCGTCCAGGATGGCGACGGTGATGTTGAAGTCGACGCTGCGGGGTGACGGAGACCCAGCATCGCTGACGCGCACCAGCAAGCGGTACTCGGCATACGTCTCGCTGTCCACCGCCGACTGCACCACCAGCACGCCCGAGGCCGGCTCAAGGAAGAACGGGTTTGCACCACTGCCATCGGGCGCCAGCATCGTCCACGTCTCGCCGCCATCACCTCCCATGCTAACGCTGCTGTTGGATGCCGCTGTATTGGTGCGCGGCTTTGCGGCTACCGATACGAGCGTAAAGGTGAGCGCAGCGTTGTCGCCGCTGTCTGCATCTGTGGCTGCAAAGTTGTACAGCTGCTGCACGGGAACAACGCCCTCCGACACCTCCAGGCGCGCACCGGGCGGCATGTTGGTGATGACCGGCGTGTTGTCGTTGACATCGGTGACTGTGACGTCCACCCGCGCGGAGGAAATGAGGGGCGAGTTGCCGCTGAAGGCAAGCACGCGGAACGAGTATGATGGCGTCTGCTCAAAGTCCAGTGGTGCCGCGAGCGTCACCTCGCCCGTGGTGGCGTTGATGGCAAACGGGTTGTGAGAGCCTGTAATGTAGAGGTCATACGTGAGTGGGTCGTTGATACCCGTGTCCGGGTCGCTTGCTGCGACGGTCACCAGCACCGTGCCCACGACAGCATCCTCAGCCACGGTGTGCGCGTACACGCCCTGCTGAAAGCGGGGTGCGTTGTCGTCGACGTCGCCAACCTCAACCGTGACGTTGAGCGTCGCCGTGGCCTGGCGCACGCCCTGGTCTGTCGCCGTCACCATCAGGTTGTGCACAGCAACAGCCTCGTGGTCCAGCCCTGGGCCGCGGGGCGCGACCGTGATGTTGCTTGCATACACCGTGACGGGCTCGGCAATGCCAGGTACGGCAACAACCACCACACGAGCAGGGGTAAGTGCAAACGCGCCGGCATCGTTGCCCGTGGCGAACGCAAACGCAATCTCACCCTCGCTGCCGACGTCGCCGTCCACCGCATACACGGTACCGACAACGGATCCCAGCGCCGCGTCCTCAAGCACATGCTGCGTGGTGGCGGATATGGGGCCCGCCTCTGCCGGTCCGTCATCACCGGACACAAACACGGGCACAAACTTGTTGGTGGCGACCACGACCACGTCCAGCACGGCGCTGCCGGTCAGCTCGGGTGCAGCTGTGTTGGCGGCAACAAGCGACAGGCGAACCGTCATGGCCCCGCGCACGGCCTCCGGCAGCGGACCAACAAACACCACGTCAAACACGTTCTCTGTTGCGGTCGTCGTCGTGTTGACTGCAAACGCGCCGGCAAGGGCGCTCTCCACCGTCGATGATGGCGATGGTGGCGATGGGGCTGTGATGGCAACGGATGTGATGCGGTTGACAAGCGACACATCGCCGTCAACAACACTGACACGGGCCAGGGCGACTGGGCCCTCCTGCACGTCCGAGATGGTCACCGTGTACGTGCTCTGCTCAAAGCGCGGGGCAACGTCGTTGGCGTCCGTGACAAACACGCGCACATGTGCGGTGGAGGATCGGCTGCTGGCACCGCCGTCCCGCGCAGTCACTGACAGCATGTATGTCGCCTGCGCGTCCGTCTCCAAGTCGATGCTGCTGGTGCGGGTGGTGATCACACCCGTGGCCGCATCAATCGCAAAGAGCGCGCGCGAGGCCACATCAAGCTCATACTGCACTCGCGCATTGTCGCCGGCGTCCGCGTCCGTGGCGGTGACGGTGGCCACCACCACGCCCTGCTCGCCCTCCGCAATCGTGGCGTTGTACTGCGCAAACTCAAACACGGGCGTGTTGTCGTTGATGTCGGCGATGGTCACCTGCATGGTGTGTGTGGATGCCAGGTCACTTCCCGGGTTGTATGCGGTCACCACGACGTCGCCCGTGATGGCCTGTGCAGCCAGGGCCTCGCGGTCAATGTCAGCAGCAACGGCAAGCGCCCCCGTCGTTGGCGACAGGGTGAAGAAGCGCGCAAACGCTCCGCCAGTGATGTTGTAGCGGACAGCAGAGGCCGGCGTGTTGGCCTGGTCGGCGTCCGTCGCCACAAGCTCTTGCACGACCGTGCCGACAGCGGTGTGCTCAGCCACGTCCAGGCGCGCCGGTGGCGGTCCCGTAAACACGGGGGCATTGTCGTTGATGTCCGCAATGGTGACGGCGACCGTGACATCAGCAGCGGCAAGCCCGTCTGATGCCGTCACCGTCACAGTCACGGCATCGCCATCCGTCTCCCTGTCGAGCGGACGTGCAAGCACAAGGGAAGCGTCGCCCGTGTCACCGTCCTGCACCACCGCAAACATTGTCGGCTCGCTCACGGTGTATGTGAGGGTGGAGAAGGCGGGCGTTGTGTCGGCATCGGAGAAGCCAAGCGAGGCAACCACGACAGTGCTGGCAGGCAGCTCCTCCTGCACCGTCGCCGCCAGGGATGACTGGAGCACGCGCGGTGGCTCGTCGTTGACGTCAACTACTGCAATCGTCACCGTGTGCTGCACCGTGTTCACGTCATTGGTGCTGGTACTGGTGGAAGCAGGGCGATCGCGCACTTGCACGCGAAGGGAGTGTGTCTGCTTCGCCTCGTAGTTGAGCGGTGCCACCAGCGTCACCTCGCCTGTGCGCGCGTCCACGGCAAACGCATCGCTGTCGCTAAAGTCCGACAGGAGCGCAAAGGAGAGGTTGGCGTTGGGCGGCGTATCTGTATCGACGGCAACCACGCGCGTCACCAGCGTGCCAACCGGCGTGTCCTCGCTCACGTTCACAGCGGCGCGCGGTGCAGTGACGGTGGGCACCACGTCGTTCACGTCGGCGATTGTGATGGTGAGCAGCGTGGTGGTGTTGACGCCGTGGAACGGATCCTCAACAACGATCGTCACCTGCAGCGACGTCACGGCCTCGCGGTCAATGCTCTGCACGAGCGACACGACGCCCGTCGCACGGTCAACCGCCAGCAGCGATTCTGCCGTTGTGGTGGCATCGCCGTTCGCCAGGTAGAAGCGTGGCGCGGTCGTGGTGGTGTCGGCGTCCGTGGTGGCGATGGTGGTGAGCACGGTGCCGGGTGCGTCTGCCTCGGAGACGGTCAGGGCAACGCGGTCCATTGCAGCAACAGCCGCGTTGTCGTCCACGTCACCAACTGTCACCGTGATGTTGAGCGATGCCGTCTGCGCAGGTGTGCCCAGGTCACTTGCCAGCACGATGAGCGTGTAAGCAGCGGTTGCCTCGCGGTCGAGTGGCGACGTCACTGTCACCGCGCCCGTCGTCGCGTCCACGTCAAACGCCGCGTCCGCGCTTGGTGTGCTGTCTGCAGAGACGAGCGAGTACTGCACCAGGTTGCTGGGCGACGTGTTGTCGGCGTCGGCAGCGCTGACGGTGGTGAGCAGGGTGGGCACGGCCACGTCCTCGGCCACGGCGAGCGACAACGCGGTGCCCTCGCGGAAGACGGGGGCGTTGTCGTTCGTGTCGCGCACGACAACAAACACCTTCGTGGACGAGGTGCGGCTGTTGGCACCGGCGCGGTCGCGGGCAAAGACGTCAAAGTTAAACAGCTGCTGCGATGCCGTGTCCTCCGCATCAAACGTGCGCATGGCTGTGATGGCGCCCGTGGACGCGTCAATGGCGAAGGTCTGCAGTGCGGCGGCGTCACCCACGATGGAGTAGTCGATCACGCCGTTGCTGTTCGCGTCATCGTCCACAGCTTGCACCGTCAGCACGTGTGCGCCCACGGGCTGCCCTTCGTCCACCTCGACAATGTACATGCTGGACTCAAACTGCGGCGTGTTGTCGTTGACATCGAGCACGCTGATGACCACTTGCATGCGGTCAGTCTGGCCCGTGGCTGTGTCCGTGGCAATGAGCGTGGCGACATACGTGCTCTGCGTCTCCCTGTCGAGGGGCGTGGCCGTGGAGATGGCGCCCGTGTCAGCATTGACGCTGAAGAGGGCTGAGGACACGCCTTGGATGGTAAAGGCCACGGCCGCATTGCCCCCGCTGACACCGCTTGTGTCCAGGCGCACGTTGCTTGCGGGCAACACAAGCGTGCCTGCACTGGCGTTCTCTTCCACGGTCGCGTTGACGCGCATGTCCAAGAGCATGTCCTTGGTATTGTCGAGCACGGTGAGGGACCAGGTGCGCAGCACAGTTGCGTTTGCATCCAGCAGCTGCAGCGTTGCTGTCTCGTCGCCCTCAACCACGGCATCGGCAACAGCCGTGATGCTCACGGCAAACGACGACGACGACGACGACGACGACGGTGTCAGGTGCACCTCCAGCACAGCTGCTGTTGCTGTTGCAACGGCAGGGAGGATGTCGCCCCGATCGCCAAAGTAGAGGTCGGTGCTAGTCTCAGCAATGGGGGTGAGCGCCACGTCCTCAAGCGTGCCGTCCGAGGAGAGGGAGACGGAGCCGGCCGTCACCACTGCCAGCTGCTGCGGGCTGCACTGCACAGCTGCAACCGCGTGCGTGATGGCAGACACCTCGCTCACGTCCACAAACGCATTCACGTCAGCGTCAAACTGGTACTCGATTGCAGCCAGCCGCTCCACAGACACAAACAGCCCAAGAGGCTGCTGTTGCTGTTGTTGCTGTTGTTGCTGCTGTTGTTGGGCCATTGGTGAGCCCACGGTGAAGAGGAGGGCGTGCACAGCCACTTTGTTTTCCGTGTCGAGAGCAATGGATTGGGTGTGGCCCACATGCATGGGTGCGGCAGTGGCCGTCGTGGCTGCAGCCGTGATGGCGGTGTGGGCGTTGAGAAGACGGAAGATGGCCACGGTGCTGCCTTGATCGGCAACAAGCGCAACTGTCAGGTCGCAGTCACCGGCAATGCTGGATGACGGCTGGCAGACAGCAGACACAGACTCTGCACCAGAGGTGGCGAGCGTGAGCATGGGCGCAAAGGTGCCGTCAGCCTGCATGCGCCACACGCTGCTTGGCGTGTCGAACGACGCCTGCTGCGAGTCGTACTTGTTTGCGAGCACAACCAGGACGTGATCCTGGTCATCGACAGCGCTGTTGGCGGGGACGTGGACGGCGGTGACGTCTGTCGCGCCCTGCGTCGCCAACTCCTGCACCTGCACGTATGCACCGAGCGTGGCGTTGAAGCGGAGCACGGGCGAGGCCAAGTTGGTGTTGCCGCTGTTGTCCTGCGAGTTGGAGAATATGAGCGTCGTCGCATCGCCCCGCTGCGCAAACGCACATGCGGATGCGCCCACCGTGGACACGCGCTGCAACAGCACAAACTGCTGCGTAGTCGTGTCCCACGCGTACACGTTCGATTTGGTCGCAAAGTCGTTGCCTGTTCGCGTGTTGGCGATAGCGAGATGCTCAACGCCACCCACGCGCGCGCGACACAAACCAGCGGGCTTGTCGGAGACGACAAGCGTCTGCACCAGCTCAAGCGTCGTGGCGTCGTACACGTTCACGGAACCTGTGCCCACGCCTTGCTCGGAGACAATGTGCAGTTGCGTGCCCGGCTCTGGCCACGAGCACACCACGCTTGCCGGGCTCCTTGCCGTGTTCACCGATCTCAGTGGCACAACCGCAAAGTTTGAAGCTAACGATAAGAATGAAGTGAACAGTTGAGGACGGGTGAGTCAATTTGGTTGTGTGTGTGTGTGGGTGTGTGGGTGTGTGATTGTGTGTGTGTGTGTGTGTGTGTGGGACACAACAGACGGTTTGCAGGTCCCATGTTTCCTTTTTGTTCATGTGTGTTTGCGTCCGGAGTCCGTGTATAGGGGGTTTGTTTATTTTTTTTATTTTTTTTTGTGTTTGTATTGTATTTTATACATTTGAATTTGGATTTCTTCTCTTTC